ATCATCCAATCAAAATTCTTCTTTCCCGTAAAATGAGAGAAAAGGAAAGATGTTGATTGGTTGATTCGCTTATGCACTATGTGTTATTTGTTATGCAAAAGTCTGTGTCGCGGCCCTAAGGACTGCGATATTCCACATAAATTGCATAGCCGCATAACTATATACATAAAGAAAAATATCCAGACACATTTCTATCATAAAGACAAATGTAAAATACAATTGGATGATTTTCTTTATGCATATGTTTATGCTATGCAAGTTACGTTATGATTCGTTCATTCTTTATAGCTTAAGGTATAAAAATCTATTGTAGATTCGGTAAGGGCCATTCCACTTGCATAGCCGCAGCACAGACTCTCGCATAACGCATAAGGGAATCAACCAATCGAAATTCTTCTTTTCCATGAATGAGAGAGCACCCAGGCACACAGCACTTTATGTTGATACTTTGCACATTTTACAGTCACGCGATTTTATAATCTTACAAAGTAATCTTTCAAATATAACCCCATACACAATGATCTTGCGTCTCACTAAAGAACACTAAATGTAAGTGCGCATGATCATCTGAAATCTGATTCGCTCTTATATTGACCAAATTAAAATGGCGTTGATCAATTGGTGCCATGATTTTCTATGCTTGAAGGCTTAAACACAATAAACACAGGCAACAGAGAATAACGAGCCGTCCAATCAGAACTCTAATGTGTAAGTTCGATATTATATCCCAGAGCTCTGATTGGATGGCTCGTTATTTCCTATTGCCTGTGCCTATTGTCTGTGCCTATTGTGTTTAAGCCTTTACAGCAGAGATGCCAATTTCAGTGTATACAATATATAGTTCAGTGACTCTAATCGGCTGTTTCAGCGGCAAAAAGAATCACGTTAAAATGAACGCTTGATATTCATCAAGTTTGATCCTTTTTGTTTCGCTGAAACAGCCGATTTAAGCAGCTTGTGAAAATTTACCTTAACGATACGTTTGTGATGATTTCAACGCCAATTCGATTCGATGTTTAGTTGACAATTTCTTGCTGGGCAATTAACAATTTATTCATAAAGAATAAAATAAAATGTTTTTTTAAATTATAAATAAATTATATATATATATATATACACACACACACACACACACACACACACACACACACACACACACATCAAAAAGTATATTATTTGTAAATGTGTATTAATTATAGAAAATATATCATCTGAAAAATAAGCGAAAATAAAAAATTCTATTGTTTGGATGCTCAAAAAGTATTCATACAGTCGAAAACTTTAGCTTCTAAAATCAAAAGGAATACATGCGAAGCTCATTTATTTATGTTAGAACAGAAATATATTCATTGTATAAAATTACTAATTAATGTTTATTTTTTACAAATAAGATTTTATAAAAAATTTTCTTGTACGAATACTTTTTGCTCTCACTATTTTATGCGTTAACGAATAACGATGACATGTTCTTTCATCTTATTTATATTATTAATTTGTATATCGATTTACAATGCAGAAATAACAATTATTTTCAGCGCTTTTCAATATAGCAAACTTATTACAGTACATAGTATATTTTCGCAAAAGTAAATTAAAACTTTCTAGTTCTACTTTTTTGATTGTTTCTTCTTAAACCGAATAATCGCAATCTTTTCCAATACTGTTTTGTATTTGGATCTAATTCTTCCAAAGGTGGAGGAGGGCCAGTTCTAATATTCCACAACCAATGAGGATATTCAGAATCTGGCTTTAACTCGACGTCTTTTCCTCCCTCTTTATAAATATTTGTACCGCATACATGAGTTAAGAGCCTGTTAACATCCGTTTCAACAGGCAACACTTTTTTTTCTACTGTAACTGGCTTCCTTAATTTCTTCATTCCTGGTCGGGTCGCTATAAAAAGAAAAAGAGATTTATTTACTTGCAATTTTCTTCAATCTAATGCATGTTCTTAATACGACGATTGTGTATATAGCTGCACAGTTGTGTTAGGCAAATTATCATTACGGTCATGATGACACAGCCATTAATGTAGATGATAAACCATCATTATCGATCGATATTATTTCATACTGCATATGCACGTTGTTTACATGCTCGATCCAGGAGCACGCGCGTGCGCGCGCGCGTGTGTGTGTATTATTATACAATATGTATAATCTCAATGATTGAGGTTATACGCATACTTGTAGTATCTAGATTTTATATATATATATATATAGGACCCCTAGTTTCTTGAAAAGAATCGTATACGAAAAGTATATAGTTTTACGTATGCCACCAACGAGAGCTATTATTAAAAATGGCCGCACAGGCTCTGGGATAAATTTTCGTAATTATATCAATTATTTTCTATTATATAGAAAATAATTTATTTTTAAAGCGCATGCAGAGAATTTGTACTTTTAAAGTAGATGTGTTTTTAAAGTAGAGAATTTACGTAATTGAAGCAGAAACTTATTCTAACCTCGTACATATTATTCTATGTCCGTCAATGCCATCGATATGACAGATTTCCTAACCTGAATAATCATCACTTTAACGATTAATATCTCGGTCGAGGGAGCAGAGTGACACTTCTTTTCGTCAGATTCATTCATTTCGTGCAAAAACGCGTCGAATGAGTCTTAATTTCATTGGTTTTGGAGGTGTTGTAGCTAAAACTATATAATTGTACTTGCCGATACTCTTCAAGAATAGGAGGCCAGGATTGAAGTTGAGGCTCAATCAAGGCTTAAAGTCCTGGATATGACGAATGATGGACAAGATCGATGCATCAATTTTCCATTCCCTTACCTGGTCCGGCGTATTCTCTCGTTTGTACCGTATATCGAGTCGATATTATGGAGTTTCTTGGAAAATGGAAGAATCGGTTAATAACGGCGAGATTCATCATCATGCGTAGTATGTTTGATATTTATTTATAATATCGACTTGGTATTCTTGACTCTTAGTACTTGATATGTAGTACGGTATTAATAGTATAGTGGAGGTTGAAAGATTAGTCACAGCTGGTTGGTATCATCGGTATCGAGTTATCGCCTACCGATGCTGTAGAAACACGCAGAATATGTAACATGTAGAAACACAATCATACGTAAGTCATATGGAAACACACACGTAGAAATTAATATGTATGTAAGTATATTATGTACAAACTCGCAGGATGAAGCAATGTAGCCAACATGTCGCGAGCGTGAAATCGCATTTATGTATGTACATGCAATTTTTGCAGAGATATATTTTTATCTTCTTGATACACGATTCCTTTTCTCTCTGGCCTATGTCAGTATTCGCTTCGATACCTATATGTCGGAAATTATCATTCTCGATGGAGTCTTCTGAAGTAGAGGAGAGAATCGAATTACATGCAACACTATACACGTGATACATTGCGGTGTAGGTGTATGTGGTGCAGGTGGTGTATGGATATACATACATATGACAAGCACTACAGCCTACAGCACTATCAGTAGTGACAATGAGTGATAACAAGGACACGTAACACAACGCGGAAAGCAAAAGTATCACTTGTCTGTCATAGCTTGAGTTAATTATAAGATTCGCGATTAATATCCGACTAATAATTCTTCAAGTATTGCAAAGATGTTAAACGCTGCCAAAAGTGTGAAATACGCGCGGGTTTATTCTGTTAGATTATATAATGCCATGTAATGCCATTGAGCAACGATACTTCGACGCGGGTAAGAGTCGTGTGATTTTAAAATGTGTGAAATTCCAAGTGTTATGTTTAATTGTTATATTTAAATAAATGATTAAGTGTAGAGAGGCTAATGTAACACAATTTTAATTTTATCCTTTGATTGTAGAGTAGGGATAGAATAGAATTCGGAAAGAGATACATACAGTAAAGAGTCTCTGCACTCTCTAACCTTTCTCTTTTTATGATAACATTATATATAAACGTATACTTAATCGTTGTTGGCCGCGTTTTTGCAGACGAGAAAAATATTATTTGATACGAAAAATAAATCGACTGCTCGAGGTAACGTACCAGAGGAGAATCAATTTTTGACTATAGCAGCTGCTTTACCAATATTGCCTGGTGCGCCGGTACCCCCAAAGCTGTCAAAGCGTTGTTACAATTCATTTAGGTAATTGCTTTAGAGCTTTGCCAATTAGCAAAATTCGGTCAGTTTTATTCCAATTACCAATCGTTTCTTCGACAATTCTTAAAACGTTGGAAATCATTGGTTTTGTTGTATATATTGGTAGTTGCACTGGAACCCAATTTGAAATCGAAAATGCAGAAGCTGAAGGATGCAACGTGGTTACGTTACAATGGACAGGAGAAACGAGAACGATCGTGGCATCGAGAACTCCTGCCGAACGAGAAAAGAACCCTGACAGAATATGCCTCGATAGGCGAGGTCTGACAACGTTTCCTAATGTCATTGGAGAATCCAAATTGCGATTAATGTCTCTTCAGCATAATCTGCTAACCAAGATCGAGAGTTCCAACTTATCTCAATTGACAAAACTTGTATTTCTTGATTTGTACGATAATCAAATAGAAAAAGTATGCGATTTTGATTTTTTAGAAAATTTAAGAGTACTTTTATTAGGGAAAAATAGAATAAGAAAAATTGAAGGTTTAAAACAACTTTTGAAATTGGAAGTTTTGGATTTGCATGGCAATCAAATCCAGCAAATTACGGGCTTAGAGAACTTGTCATCATTAAAAGTATTAAACTTGGCAGGGAATAATATCAAAACTGTAGGGTGCAATGATTTTCAAGGTTTATTTTCGTTAAAAGAGTTGAATTTGCGCCGGAATAAATTAAAAAGGTTGCTAGGATTTGATGAGACACCACAATTACAAAAATTATATTTAAGCAACAATGATATTCATAAGTAAGTAATTTTGACAACAAGTTTTATTTACTTTCCAATACATCTTTAATCAATTGTTAGTTGCACGTGCTTATATGTGTATTTATATCTACAAGTTTTATTTTGAGACATCCACACTTGCATGTATAACACACTTGATGTAAATTATGCGCGCGCGCACGCATTACTTTTAAATCCATAAAGAAGAGATATTCAAATGTTTCCCTGATTATTCATTCTTCAAGTAAATTGTTTAGTAGAATACAGTAGAATAAATATACACATATACATATACCTATATGTGTGTGTATATGTACATATATAGGCCAAATTGATTTAATGTTTCAGAATCGAAGATATGAGTAGCCTCGCAAAAGCCTTGCAAATTAAAGAAATAACAATAGATGGTAATCCAGTAACTTTAAATACTGATTATATTTCCTTTCTTGTTTCGTACTTGCCAAGTCTGCAACTTCTATCAACAATGCAAATTAGCGAACAAATTCGAAGAACAGCGATGGCTTGGAGATTTTCCAAGGAACAATCCAATTCAGCATTTCTTGATCTTAGTACGCAAGTTTGTATGAGCGTACGTAGAGAAGAAGTAATATCAAATGCTAAAACAAATTGGGAATTTCTCAGAACTAAAGTCTCGCTTGATAATTCCAATAAAGTGGCAAGTAATAATGCAGGCAACAATAATATTAATATATTATTACGTACACAAAGTTCAAATAAATTCAATGCTATAAATCCAAAAAGTTTAGATAAAGCTAAAATAAAAGGTTTTGGCAGTCTCACATCGATAAATGAAAATATGGAAGCACGAAAGATACATATAAAAAAGAGAAGCAATTCTAGTGAGAATTTGTTCAAGTTAGAAGACACATCTAAATCGTATCTTTTAGAATTTAAACTTCCACCTATATTAGGTTCGATAGTAAATAATTTAACAAGTAATAGATTCGACAATAGATTGTCTAAGAATAATAAAGAAAATGATCGTAAGATGAAAGTGCTCAGTGAACATATCGAAAACGTATCGGATAGCGAGAGTGACAGTTCACAGAGTCATGGAAGCTTGAAAAGTGGCTTAAAATGTCATCTATTTACTCCTACTATGTACGGTTCAGCTACAGATTATGATAAATCTATCGTCTGTAATGAATTTACTATAGCGAAGGATATGTCCTCGATTACCGCAGCAAATTTTTATATTAACGATAATGAAAATCATATATACGATAAGGAAGCACTTGCTGCAACTCCAAAGAATTCGTTAAAGTGTCATGATGCAGTGCGAAACGAAAATACAGGCTTAAATAATAGATCGTTCCAAAATATAAAAGTATTTCATGCTCAAGATGGTCAGAATGATTACCAATCAAAATCGATCACAAGTTCTTCTGGATATTGTTCTTTGAGTTCAAAGACTAATAGTGTAGACAGTTGTAAATCATTGTTGAGTGATTCTAGCGTTTCATCGATTATTAAAAACGCTCACAAATCTCACGAAAGTGATAAGGATCATAAAAGTAGAATTAAGAGTGCTCAAACAAAAAAGATAGTATATTATAAAAGTAATAGAGCTGCAACAGCCAGAGCGAAATTTAGAGCTCTTGCTCCGTCAAGTCCGCCTCTTCAACAAGTACCACCTAAAGAAAGGGAACAGGGTAGACCAAGATTTTTTGATTTTTTCTGTCCAAACAATATATATTCATATTACTCATACGTGTTTGTGTAAAATAAAATGTAAAATCGGATCATTTTCTAGGTGGAGATTATTTAATAGAAATCGTTGGTCGCTGCCTGAATATATACGGTCAAGGTGCTTTACGCTTTATAGATAAAACTTGGGACGTGTCAAAGGCTCAAGATGTTAACGTTGTAAAATTTAATTATGTACAATTTAATGATGTGACAAAAATTTTAAGCAAATTAAAGAATAGATTTCCTCATGCGGAGCATTTCGTATTTAAAGAAACTAACATTAATCTTCTTGGTCAATTAAATGCCTTAGCTGAAGTACAAGGATTGACCAGTATAGAGATAGATGCAGGGAATCCTATTGTGTCTAAAGATTGGAAAATGTATGCTATATTTCGATTAGCTCATTGGGGACTTGCAGTTATCAATGGCAAGGAGGTATAATATATATAAGACATACAAATTATGACAAATCGTTTAATGAAACATGTAAAACACATGCGCGCGCACGTATCAAAAAAGATGAATTAATCGTTGCTCGTTTAACTTTTTGGATTCTTTTTCAGGAAAATTGTGCGTGCGTGTGTGTGTGTGTGTGTGTGTGTGTGTGTGTGTGTGTGGAGGCGGTGAGACGAGAGAGGGGGAAGGAATGCGGATCAATTCTTTTATTGAGAATTAAAAGTTCAATATTTTTCTAGATTACAGCTGAAGATGTGGAACTTGCAAATCAAGAATATACCGGTCTTATAGATATAGTAATGTGTTCACTGCCAGATTCTTTATTACAACCTTTGTTACAAAGACTTCATTTAGAAAAAGTGCAAAAACAAAGCGGGGAACAAATTACTGCCAAACAATTTCTGTTCAACTGTGACCCGGCACTTCGAAGTGTTGTTGCCAAGGAGGCGTTACAGTGGAGAAAGGGAAATGTAACGCAGGTAATGAAAATAAAAATAAATGTTAACTATTTTTTTATAACAAGGTCATGTTTTATGCTTAATTGTACACTAGAATGTATAAACGATAATATTATTGCAATATACATTGCAATTGTTTATAGGAAGATCTTATCTGGAGACACAAAGGCAAAGTACATTTGCTAAATTTAATCAATCTCACTATAAATGCTATACGCAAGTTACAAATCCTAGAAAAACAATGGCCATGCGTTCTGTATGAGATCGTTTCTAATACTCTATCTGATTTCTCTGAAATGGATATATATATGAAACGTTGCAGTAAAATGCTCGAAAGCGATAAATAGTATTGTACAATACCCGTGCCTTAAAGAGTAATACACACACACATATATATATATATATATATATATGTATATATGTATGAATGAACAAATATATATATATATATATATGTGTGTGTGTGTGTGTATGTATGTATGTATGTATGTATGTATATATGTATGTATGTACAAATATATATATATATATATATATCGCTATATTGCGTAGCGTATGTGATTTCTCATTTGATTACATTATATCGCAGAGAATAGTGTAAGAATAGTAATATGGCTTTGTTATGTTAATATTGGAACGTACGCATATATACAACAGAGACAATTTTATATTGTTATTGCTATAAATATATTCAATATGTTTGCTAGAATTGTGATACACACACACACACACACACACACACACACACACACATTCATGTATAAAATAATAAATTGTACATAAGCATTGTTAATATTTCTCTCTTCTTGAATACACACACACACACACACGCACGCACGCACGCACACACACACACACACACACATACACACACACACACACACAGAATCAACGAGGAAGTAAGATACACTTTATTATATGATATACTAAAGTGCTAATTACATACGACATACGACTGCTATTAAATAATTTGCACAATGTTTGTGAAAATGTCGTTTTTTTTTTCTTTTACTTATACGTACTAATTGGTGTACTATTTGTAAGATTATTTATTTCATCGCGGTGGGATTAATCGTTCAAGTACCAATTAACGAATACGAACAAAATATCTCACTCCGTTTCTTATTGAAAAATTTAGCATTGCCATTTATTATGTATCCTGCTGGAATATATTGTTGGAAGATAAGTGCGATATTTATTGATCATTCGATGCAGATAAGTGCATGTTGTGGTTGCGGTATTGTTGGCAATTCTCAAATTGCCAGATCAGAATCTGAATAGGTAATAGCTCGCTAATACTCAAACAATTAAAATACAGATAATAGATTATTTCGTACCGATAATAGATTCCACGCTGAAGGAAATTGGCGCTTTTTTTTCTAAACAAGGTTTATTGGTTGTAGGACAGCTTCGCAAATCTCTCGTAGAAATAAAATTATTCAACTCTTCATTCGCTATGTATGATTGCGTTACCTCATTGAACCACGGAACCATTGTCGGATATGCAGAATGGAAAGACTCTATCTTCAGTATGGGTTCAGCTTCTTGTTTTTGATCACATTCCAGAGAAGATAAATTGCTCAGCAAACGTGCAGGATGAGCTGATACTGAAATGTGTAAGAGTATGTAAACGTTTGATATAACTTTGTGCACTCTCAAAAACACCATACTGCAAGAATACACTTGAAAAGATAGAAAAAAAATGGAAATATGTAGGATAATAAAATTGGATATATATGTAGATATCCAGTGCCAATAGATTGAAATATTTTCCAACCCCTTATATTATTTATAATATGCATTATACTTCTTCATAATTCGCTATCTAAACTTTTGCTAATAAAAAACATGTCACATATTTTAATTTATTGTTAAATCTCGAGAGTTTATTTTTATTTTGTTGTAATAATTTACAATGTCCAAAGGGTAGAGTAGCATGTTTGGAATATTAAACATCAAATCAATACATACATTATTGACGTATCTACATATTTCCGAACAATTTCTTCTCACGGTAAAATTTGAAAGGGTTTACAGGATTTTAGATATACTCACATGCGCCAGGTAAACCATGTACGGTATTTAATCCATAAAAGTCCTGCGTCACGCTGATACTCGTCTGCGTGAAATGTAAATGATGCCTTTGAAAATTCTTGGTTCTTCTACCGCAGACAGGTTCGTTGTATTTTGCTTTAGTATAATAAGGACTTACAGTGTCCGCTGATATTTTATTTACTGAAGATAAAAGATTGTCGCCTTGCGCTTGTTGTTGTCTACGTAGAGCAACTTGCGCTGCCATTACTCGCTGCCTTTCGACGACTAGAAGACAACAAGGACATCGGCAATCTTTCCATGCACAGGATCTCTTGTGACCTTTCAAGCCGGATATTACACCATGATTTCGACATCTCGCGCACTTCGGACTTCTTAAACGTTGCTCCACATTTGTGTTTGTATTCAAACGACTCGAAGTGCCTCCGCTAGTTTTCATTCTGATTTTGATATTATCTTGAGGGAGGGAGAGAGGAGAGAGAGAGAGAGAGAGAGAGGAGAGAGGGGGGAGAAAATGATACGTATAATTAACGGAATTATATTTAACAGATGGAATATGTTAATTTGAGTCAAATCTGAAGTTATTCAAGTACGATAAACTAATACTTTCAGGTTATTTAATACGCAATCGACATTAAACACATTTGTTCCACAGTGTTTGCAATTCCACAGTATACATCGCGTAACATGATCATTGACACATTCAACAAGTCCCGCAAATTCGCTCACAATTGGATTAAAAAATTCTTTTCGCGTATTTGAAATATTTTATACATAGAAATACTCTCATTCTTCGTTATGCGCATTACCGGTCGTTTTGGTTTTCAATTAAGTAACACAAGAAGAATTTGCACACATTACATATAAATTTTTGACATGTGCGAAAAGCTATTTTTTTCATGAACTATTCTCTTTTATTGTATTTGATAAAACTTGCCTAAAAGTGTTCTTTTCCGATACTTTTGTTAAGCGCTTATTTATTATATTCGGTTCTTCTTAAATATCAATTCTTCTTAAATATGCGGCGTTGACCGAATTGTTTCCTTAGCTGAGTTACTCGTCTTACTCGGATAGAGATACGTACTTGTAAGAGTATTTCTCGCCTTTCGCGAAGGAGGTGTTGTTTCATCTCCTCCTACTATGATTCAAAATGTATTTTTAGCAAGCCGATGTATTCCTATTGGCTCGAAAGCTCAGTAAACTCCGCCGCTTTCGTCGACTGCGAACCAATGGATTACTATGTTTTTCTTTGTTTTTCTTCTTGTTGCAGATAGCTCTATGAAAGAAAAATTCTTCATTAGTTTCTTTGAATATATATATAATATATATATATATTGTTAGATTGACATGCGTACAATATTATATACATATATCTAAAAAATTAGTCCTGAGCCGACATCTAAATAACTAATTCTCTAGTGTTGTTTGACTTTTTTATATTGTACATTTGAAGAAATATTGTGGAATTTTTTAGATGTTGGCATACATATATCTAGAGCCAATTTCGGTCATTTTTTTTTTAATTCTTTGTATCTTTTTTGTATCTATTAATTATAATTATTGTATAATAAGTCAATGCAAGAGTTAATTAGTTTTCAATTAATAGCCTGTTCATTAGTTAATTTCAATCCAATTGTTATCGTTCCAGTTGTTTGGAAAAATAATCTTGTTCTTGAATATCTTTTTTCTAGGAGGGACATATTTTTAAATTGCTATTGGCGAGTGTACACTTTTCTATATATCTATAATACATTCTTTCTTCATTTCTATATTTCGTTCTTATATTTTTTCTGATGCTATCTAATTCTTATTGATATGATAAATTTTTAAATTAACATTTGTTTCATATTTGAAGAAAAGATTTGAAGAAGAGGTGCCATTAAAATTAAACGGTAGCGCACAGGCCGATGCAACATCCTTTTAGAAATAACATTGAGTATGCAGTATGTTAACCAGGTGGTTATCGAGGAAGAGACCGTAGTGGAAGTTCGCGGTGTCACTCATACATTGAGAAAACATACTCGAAACTAATATTAACTGTGTGTTGGCAACATCCGAGAGGATCGTATTAACGAGCTCTTAGAGCAAGATCACAGAAAGAATGCCATATGGTTGCAGCTGCTGGCATATAACGTGTTGTTAGTGGAGATTGTCTGTCTTCTATTTTTGCGGTACATAATACGATCCATGAACAAAGCAACGAAAGGAATCGTATTTTATATATATTGATCGAATATGATTGCTAATTGTTGTTGCCAACATTTTATATATATATACATATATATATATATATATATATATATATATCGTACATAAACATTTTACTAATTCCGATGAAAATAAAAATCAGAGCGTAAATCGAATGTAACAGAAGCATAAACGAAACTTCTAGGAGACGAAAATTGAAACATCAAAATATAAAAGAAGTTTAAATGCTTCTTTTACATTTCATTGTTCCAATTTTCGCCTTCTAGAAGTTTACACTTCTTCCATTAAGGAGACATGTTTATTTTTTATTGAAAGAAATTAAAACAGTGCTTATATATTTGCAAAGTTTTCAAGCACAGTTGAAAATTAATTCTTGGATTTTCAAGGTGTGCATTATAACGTGTGTATCTTGAAAGTCTACATCGTTTTCGCTATTTATTTAATTAATTATTCTTTACTCAATCAATTAAGCGATGTATAATTGGGCAATACTTTTAATTACATATTTGTAATGTTCTGTGTTCATAACATTTTATTACATAAGTTGAGTGATGAAAATCCACCTATGTAATACATCTTTTTCCACGGGATATTTTATTCTCTTAAATTTATGTGGTTAGACAAGTTTAAATTTACATATGTCATGTGCGTGCACGCAACACACACACACACACACATATATATACAGTAGATAGTAGTAGGCAGGCGTGACACGCACCAAAGAATTCATTCTAATGAGCGTGGAACGAAGGGGTGTCATTTTGGATGTTTTTTCTTTTCTCTTTCCATCATGGGCAGTTCTGTCTAAGGATGTTGTCAAGACAGCAAATATGTTGACAGGTCATTCAACATCTTTTTCCATATCTTAGTCGCACGATGGGACCTTAAGAAAAATAAAGGAATTGTTGAAATGATAAATTATTTTACGTTTATTCTTTAGAGTGTTTCTTATAAGAAAGGAATACACAATAATCAATCGAAAATAGCATAATTTTTGCTTTTACTAGAGAAATTAAGCAAAATTTTTTCAATACACAATTATTTCATTACACTACAATTTTAATCCTTATTCTTACTCATAGGATCACTCCACGTGTCACGTAAAATACGCGGGTAAAATATGTACTAAACTTACATGATGGTTTCACTAATTCATTAAATGTCATTTCACTTTTTAATCGTATACTAAAAAGTTGAAACTTTTATTAAGTAAAATTGTAATTGAAAACCATATATGATAATCCTTGGTGAACAAATTTTGCTGAAATTAATTCCACGTTTTGGAATATTTCAACGAAATTGTTAAAAATTTGCTAAAATTTCACTGAAAGTGAATTTTTTAGTTAACATAAAAAATCGTTAAAATTAAACTGAAATTTCTCTGAAATTTTTGCTGAAATTTCTCTGAAATTTTGCTGAAAATAAATTTTTCAACTAAAAATCGCTGAAATTAAACTAAAATTTTTCTGAAATGCTGAAATTTTACTGAAAAGTGTTTAAAAACATGAAATAATTTCAACAAAATTTCCACTAGGGAGGACCTTATAGAAACGTAAAACGCAAATGACTTGGAGGATCACAAAAAATGACGTGGAGAAAAAAGAGTTAAGGAGATCCTAAAGCCTCCTATTTTATCACGTAAGGACGTATAATTTTTGTATAAGAAATATTTTTTTCTCTTTCACCGATTTGAAAATCCTTTTCCAGGATTAAAGCATACGCATTAATACGTGTCTGGAAAATTGAGTCTGGGACGTGGTGCCGAGAACAATAAAAAATTTCAAAATTGATATATTTTTTACCATTTCTTAATGTAATATGGCGTCTCAGCTGAAAAATCATGACAATATTTGCTTGATATGAAAACTTTGCAACATGTACGTACAAAATAGTGATTTCCAGACACATAGTTTACACGAACAAACAACATTGAGTTCTTAGAATTAACTTAGATGCTTTATCGCGACAAATTTGTTATATGAAAATTGACACGTACGTATATCATAGGTTGCGTGAGATATTACTGTGGTAGTATAAAAAGACATGTCGATGTGCGGCGCGTGGCGCGACCTCTAGTGATTTCATCGGAGTTCGAGCTTTGCTTTAGGATCCCTTTAAAATTGCGTTAATCATATGGATTAATTTTATACATGAAGCTTTGCCTGTTTCTCATTGTCGATTACAAAGTTGAAAAGATGAAAAGGCATAATTTATATATATATATATATATATATATATATATATATATATCATCTTTTCAACTTTTATAAGACTAAAGATCGATATATCGATAGTATACATATATATATATATATATATATATTATCGATGTATCAAAAGAACAGACGCTATATGTATAATAATATACAAATGCAATATCATCAATTTACGAATAACGAATAATGAATTAAACAGCAAATTTTTAAGATTTTTGTTATTTTTGACACGCGTTGAAAGGCAAATTTATCATTTGTTTTATATATTTGTAATATCATGTTTCGTAGATTTTAAATTGTGAGAAAATAAAAAAAGTAACAATATTACGTAGATATTAAATACGAATTATATCAAGCAAATTAAGGTGTTGAGATTCGGATCCCGAACTGAGTGTATAATACTCGCAATGCCGAATTGCACGACCAATCTCACTTGGTATCTTGGAAAGTTTATTATCGGATTTACCGGGATATTATTTCTCTACATCAGTTTCTTGAAAGAAAAGTGAGCATCTTCAACATATAGACCAAACTAAATCAGAATGATGAATAGTGATGTTAGAAGTAATCCTTTTTTTATCCGACAGTAAGAAATATTGTGTGTGCAATACTAGAATGAGAGAATTACTGCAGAAACAGAAAAGTGAAAAGTGAGTCACGCTGGTCATACACTCGCGTCTTCCTAAAGCTTTTATTGTATATAATTTTTTTTTCTTTTTTTCATATTAATAACGTCATAATAATATAAAAAGTAATAATAAATGGGAGAAATATAAGCGCGTCGACAAGCATGTCTCTCGAGATTATATATTTGATCATATAGAATCATAAAAGGATTACGTTTCGTATGACCGGTGATATCATAATAACGAATTTATGAAAATTGACATAACGCAAAAAGTACTAATTTTCAATACATTAGACGACCAAGTAGATGCAAATGTATAAAGGGGTAAGTAGATATGACATCTTAGTCAGAGATATTTGCTCAATTTAAAATAACGTTTTTATACTTTTTATGTGTCTATAATTTAACTAAAGATGAAACATGGATAATTAGAGGAGTAAAAGTACTATTAAATATATCATTCGAACAAGTATATCTATTTTAAACACACGCACATATCTCTGCTTTTTTTTAAAGGTTTTCTCTTCCGTACTATTTTTTTTTAAACTACGTTTTTTTCTTTTGAAAATTTTGCAAATTTTTGAATAGATGCGAAAAAAGAAACACATAAGATCAAATAGTACCATCATAAAAAAAAATAATGCTGTTATTTTTATCTTTTCATTCAATACAGGATGCAAGATAAACGTTATTTATGTGGATGCAACAAGACAATGCAATTGTAAGTTTTCTTTTATTAATTCGTATTTTGATTTGCAAATATTAGTGTTTACAATACATATTAAGATAAAATATTTTTAATACGATAATCACAATAATGTATAACATGTAAAATAATAATTAATTACTTAATTAATTTATGTAATTGTGTACAAATTAATTTACATGAATAGAGTAAATTTTATAAATCTCTAGAACGTGGAACGATGATATGATATCGACGATTTCAAATGATTTTATCAAGCATAAGAAGTCTTGTCCGAAAAGTCGCTGTTGCACCAGAAGAAATTCTTGTTGAGAGAGAGAGAGAGAGAGAGAGGGGGGGGGGGGGAACGATAATGCGACAATTCATTGCTCAAGATGTACTATTTTTTAAAGATAAGATCTCTTATTTAGAATGGAGCTTTTTTCTTATTATTTGGAATTATTTCCTCACAATTCATTCAATCGTCACCAATGTAGCAAATAATAAAGATATAATCCATAAAAAGAATCGAAAAAAACATATTAATTGCAGACTCATTGAAATTACGTAAAAGACAATTATATTTTTTATAAACAATGTCAGGTCTGTCCCTTTCGAGTAAAAAGGGGTACAATTTGTGGTATTTAGATTGTCTAGTCCGCATCAAACTATTATGCTCATTATCATATTATGTATGTAATTGTGCTATTATGCATAATACACGATGGTATGCAACAATACCTCTTACGAGCATCTCTATCTATGTATATATATTGGCAACTAGCGAGTTAGCTATGAGAAATTCTATGAATAAGTTCGACATATTGTAGGAGAGTAACACGCCCGGTCGCACGCTCTGAAAATCCGAAACTCGATTAATACGCGTCCCATCTGTAGGTGAAGAGTCTATAAGTAGATCCTGCGCGGGCAGGACGTCAGTCATATTCGTATATTATTTATACTGACCTCGTAGACACGAGACACCTCGTTGCTAACGAGATGGCCGCTTGATCATGCGGTGTGTGCGTGCATGAGTGTGCGTGCGTGCGCGTAATGATATATTTAATATATGTATTTTCAACCGCACGACATTAGGATGTTGTTAATGTTTATTAATTTGTCAAACGACGAAATATAAAATATTTCTTTTCCCTCCCTCCTCCTTTTTTTCCTTTCTCTTTCTCATATTGATTAATCGGTTATCTTTATTACGATGAGATTATTTGTTTGACATCATTCATTTTACATTAGCATAATGTACAAAACATTCTTCTCTTTTTATCCTATATTTTTCTTTTACTCCAATCAAAAGTTATCTTTTATTCTGAAATGATTAATTATTCTTGAAATAAAAATCAGGAAGCTGAAAATAGTAAAGCGGTTGAAAATTACATGAAATAATACATGGAAATATAATCTTTCGTTTATAACTTTTCGACGTATGCACCTCAAGTTTTTCCGCAATCTCCATGATGGTAATCTATATGTGAGATCTCTCTGAATGGCAGGCTTTGTAAGAGGTAAAGACATCGCAGCTGCGTCTCTTTCGTATTTTGCGCGCATTCCGATGAAATAAAACGAGATGGGCTTGGGGTAGCGGCCCGAGAGTCGAGAAGAAATATTTCGAAATGAGAAGATGTTAAATGAGCAAACTGTCCGACTGTCACTCCGCCTAGTACCTAGTTTCTCAGTGCTTCACGAAAATGTGAGTTAAAATGATCTCGTGAATATATATCACAAGTTCTTCTGTCGAAAATACACATGTAACATTTCTCATGTTATGAAACTTTTAGTATATATTTGTTTTTACACGTCTTAGCGCAATATACATATATTTTTAATAATTAGCCTAGTAAACGAGAATGGATTGAAATTAATTATGTTGGATTGCAATTCATTTTAATTTATCCAAATTCGCGCTTTAGAGCCCGGAGCTGGATTGAAATGAATTGAAATGAATTGATATCCGAAGGCATAATTTTAATTGAGTGTACCTTTTGTATCCGGGATTTATTAAAATATAATTTATAAATTTATTAAATTTCTCGAATTTGAAAGAACTAATAATAAAAATTTAATATTATGTTAATTAATGTATAATAATTATTAAAAACAAATTATTAATGGAGATAGTCAATTTTAAAGATATCCAGTTTTTTTATAATTAAATTTAATTTAGCCCTATAATTATTAGTTAAATTACATAATTGATTTAATAGAATGAGTTGTAATAATTATATTATTTGTTTAAAACTCGTTTCTGTTCATGAATTTATAGTTCTTTCTTTATAAATAGAACAGTATTTTTATATTTATTTTTAATATCATTGATTGAAACAGGAGAGAATATTTCTATTCAATATTATACTCGCCGGATATAAATTCAGGACTTACATATTTCCGTCATAACTTTTTTTTATTTAAACTTTAAACAAAAGTGCGTATTTTCATCATTTAATCACTGTGATTATCATGTCATCATATTGAAATCAGATTTAAATGAATTCAAATGGATTCATCAGAATGGAAAAATCAGAAGCGCGAATTCGGAAATGTCAAAATGAATTCATTTCTATCCATTTCAATTTATTGAGTGATTAGGTAATCTGTAATTTCACATATTCGGCCATTTCGAAAACATTCCCCGATCCATTTACATTTAACGATTTTTGTAGATATTTGCTTATAGGCCTTCGTGTCTCTCACAATAGCGCTCGTATCGTTATCTTCTACAAAGACATGCGTAACGGAACTATCGATATTGTCTTTGATTGTACCTGACATGAAACGGAATTTAAATTTAGCATTACACGATTGGTTTTCAAAGAGTCCAATTATATCTCCAAATAACGAATAAGGCGATGTACTTCCGAACAATTCTTTGTTCATGTCTTTTTCTTGTTCACTGATAAATGGATTGCCCATAAGCTAAATGAATAAATAAATTTGTGAAATTATTGCGGTAAGATTATTGCGATAATACATATGTATTCAGTATTAATGAATTTTGACTCAAGTACCTCAAAAATAATCGGCTTCGCAATCTTGTCGAATGAACGCTTTAAACTCTCCTCATCTGCGTCAACAACAAAACTATCATAATATTCGTCATAATTTTCCGTAAGTTGGCGTCTAGTAATGGCTCGGCTGCATAATAGTTCCCACGGTAAAAAATCAATTAATGAAGTCCAGTCGGACCGATTAATGTTTGTAACACGTTTAACCCAATCTAAAGTTACAACATCGTATTTTCCATTGTTTACTACTTCTTTCCCTCGTATCTGAAAAAATAGTTTGCACTTTGTAATTTGTCCTTGAGTTCGATGATTATCAGATTTAAGCTTGAGTTGCGATAGCGCGCAGCGCAAAAAAAAATATTTCTTACCGTTCTATTATTGCCTACTATCACGCAAAAAGTTGTATTAATTGGATTCTGAACAACTCTTGCGCTATGTTGCTGCAGTATTTCTTCAATTTGCTCTTTCGATAATTCATCGGTACCATTAATCACACAAATTTCTTTCCCATCCAATAGTCGCGTGAGTGGTACTACGCGCTTATCGTACACGTTATGTTCAATTGATTTACTTCGACTCGCTACCTTTTGTAATTTAGAGACTGGTACTCGATCGATATCATGCAGAGTAGCTTCCCGCTTGGTTAACTTTTGAATCATTCCCTCATCCTATGATAATAATTGGATTATTATAAATTGTAAGTAAATTGTAAGTCGCAAGGGCAACTCTACTTTCATAATGTAATAATTTATCATTCATTAGTGGCATTCACATACTTTGGTCAACGATAGAAGTTCAAGAGTAGTGCATGAACTGTACCAGGGCTTATCCATCCTTACATTCGTAACTCTAGGAAATCGTAGACTGTATCCAATTGGATATTCATTACTACGTACTATTTCAGTCGCTCGTATCGTTAAAATTATAGAATGTTCTGGATGAATCCACATATCTGGCTGATTTCTCTATAAAGAATATAATACATCTATCTGCAGATGTACATGAAATGCGTATAAAACATTATTAGTGCGTAAAGAGTATTATATGTAATACTCTTGACAAGAGTAAACATATAAATTTGTTATGATGAGAGAGAAACATATGTATTATAAGTAATAAAAAAATCGAGAAAAGATAAAAATATACACCCCTAATATACATTTAAAATAATATTGTAAGTCCCAAGTAAACTAAAATTAATTATTATGTATTAATTTTAATTTACCTTGGGACCTACAATATTTTCAGGACGTTCCTTAATCCAATATGGCGCAAGTTTTGTTTGAAGATGACGTAACATTTCATCTCTTATTCCAGTGCTTACAGATACGATGGAGAAAAATTGGGACGGATTTTCTCTTTCTTTATTTGTTGGTGCAACAACACCCATCATAAAGCTTTTAATTATTCCTGTATATTTGCCCTCTCCGTAATAACCGCCAAGTATGATGAGATCTATATCTTGTACCAAATTGTCAGAATACTATAAAAATATACGTATTTTGATTTTGTTGCTTCTGAATTTTGTGCACATTATTATTACGTATTGGCTAAAGATAAAGATCGTTCGATGTATATTTTTTTGTTGAAAATCAAAAATAGTAAGTATTCATAATCTGTTCTAATTTTAAGACCATTTTAATATCCAAGTATATACCTATCTTACGATGTTAATACGCCTCTGCGGGCAGTGTTCACAGTTTTTCGAATTTTATATTTAAGTTAAGTACTGCAGTTTTAAGATATATCAGAGAGCTATATTAGCATCTTAAGACATTATTACTTAAGACGGTCTTAAAATAAAATCAAACTATAAATACTACTCTCTGATTGATTCATGACATCTTGAGACGGTCTATACTTAAGACGGTCTGAAATATAAGTAACTTTGAGACCGTCCAATATATCATAATGTATTTAATGTTTTATTTTTCAAACACGCACTCTCTCTCTCTCTCTCTCTCTCTCTCTCTCTCATTCTTTCTATGCGTGATAAATTAAATTTTTAACAAAAATTTAACTTAAAATAATATAATGTAAAATAATATTAAAAGGAAACTTTACCTCTGCTTTAATCTTATAACAACCGTTGCCATCTCGAATATTTGGTTTATATTTCATATTGCATTTCTTTATAACAAGTCCTTCCTCATTATTACGGAGGCATGTATTGAATTCCTTTATCAATTCTTCCCTTGTGACAAACGTCGCAATAATTAATCACTTATTGTTTTTGCATTATTATTACTTAAAAAAAAATAATTTCATACGAGAAAATAATTTTACATCTGGTAGACATTCAATTTCCAAACAATAATCTAATAACAATGGCGACTTATCTTAGTGTGACATTTTCTTCGTAATATTCTACCTGTTTGAAATTAAAGTAGATTGACATACAGTTAGAGAACCTTCCTCTTCGGTGAATATACCGTTGAGAAGCTTTAATCTGTCTTTATAAGGTATATCAATGAGCAAGATGTCATTATGCAGAATCATATCAAACGCAACGAAACACGGTTGATGTCGACTGCTCGCCGATAAATTTTTGACGTCAAGATTCATACCTTTTGTACTAAATATTCTTTTCTCTTTATGCCAAGCCATTAATTCTCCATCCAATATGAAAGAATGGCAATTCGGATTCAAACACCGCGTAAATACCGCGGTCAAAAAACCTATTAGAAATATTATAATTTAATTATACAACACAGTTTCAAAATGAAATAAATAATGTATGTACAGGCGATGCATATTATATAGCCAATTTTTAATATATATAATATATATCGAGTACAATCTACCTACATTAATAACGATTCGAGCAAATTACGAGTTTCTTCATTTTACAATAACAAATTTTTTTTAAGTGGGTTAATAAATATAAACCGACAAATAGTAAATAAAAATAGAAGCATACAACCGCCACACGCAAGATGTTCGTAGCGAATGTCGTACCTTACGTGTGTCTATATGCTCTTCTTCTGTTTACTATTTCTTCAACTTGTTTATTCAACTTGGAATATTCGTTGTCATACCCGAAGATCCAGTTTCTCCGTATCCATATTTGTTTGTAATGTCGTATCCTCTACGTGTCAAGTATTTAAATTTTCCATTTTTCATATGAAGTTGCGACCTCTCGCCATCGTATTTAGTTTGAACATAGTACAAGTCATTATCTCGAAATAACTTGCCAATATTTTCAATATTACATCTCTCTAAGAGCATCGGCTTAAAATGTGTAAATATTTGTATGCCGCATTCTTTTAATTTGATCTTAGGATTACGTAACTGGTCACAAATCTCGCGCAGATCATTCGTCACAAGAAATTTATCATTCGCGTCGGGATGATAGACTTGAAAGAAATGCACTGCAATTAGTCTTCCAATGCGTCGTGAGATGCATACATATTTATACATATACGTTATACATATACAAAACATTCTGTTATTAAGCAATTAAGTTATACGAACTGTGCAGTATTCTTTGTGTTCCTATACCAAGTCGTAAATCTTTAAGAATGATACGCGTCATCCACTTCATCTCAAATCCTGTAATTTGTCGGAAAAGTACTCGAAACGTTTCAATTTTTTGCTGCCTCGTTACATTTGTGTTTCTCTCGGAGATACTATCGAGGAACTCGTTAATCCGTGCGATCGTGAATCCAGTACTGATTCGAGGTAACTTTTTATTCAATACGCAGTAAGCTCGATCAGCGAAATCATTTCCTATAAATTTGCCCGACGAGAGTAAATCTCTAAAATAAGAATGTTGTACTTTTAAGAAAATTTCTTCAAGGAAACGTATATATTAGTTAACTGTATGTACATTTGCTGATGTAAAATTCTTATATACATATGTATATTTTTGTATAAGGTAAGATATGTATACTTATATCCAGCAAAGTGTGCTTTATCGATTATAGCATATAATGATTACAATTGAAAGATTATATTATACTGACCGATAATTTGCCAACTTTTTATAACTGTCACTATTTTTTGCGAAACCGTATACGTGAGCGTAAAGATTTGCCAACGAAACTTGCTTCAAATTATGCGGTCCACGTTGTCGTTCAAGATCGGGTAGTATCAATCTTAAGATAGGATAGAGCGACACATCCTAAGACAAAATTAAATCGAATCATAATTAGAGCCGGGATATAATAATAACAACGCCGTACTATTATTGTCATAAAATATGTTACATCATTTTACACATTCGACTCTCATTGGCATTATTTTCCTTTATTCATAAAATATGATATTTTTATACGGAACAAATTTGCAGGATACTTTTATCCAAACTGCTTTTTAAAGAATGTTGTAATTTTTTGTTTAGAATTGTATTGACAAAAAAGGAGAAAATATCTCACGATAATCTCTTTGCTAATACTTATATAATGCTAATATTGATAAGATACTGCCATTGTGGACGCAGCCTAATGACGACAAAATACGCACCTCACATCTCTCTCTCTCTCTCTCTCTCTCTCTATCGTCATACGTTAGATTAGAATAGAGATTTTAACAATTCTTATATTTTTTTAAAAATAAAAGCGTGTTTATTGGGGAATTTTCGATAATTTTCTTAGAAGTTTCTTATAAATAAATTTAATCATTTTTATGTCTACAAATTATAAACGCAATATTTCTATCCAACATACGCATAATGTTTAGAATAGAGCGGGGCTATTCCGTCAGTTTCACTCCTTAAAGTGACATAAAATTTACGGCAAACAATATCTTTTTGCAATAAGTATTTATATAATTACTTTATACTAATCATTTATATTTTATTTATACTAATCATGATTGCTTTTTGAGGGCACAAGTACGATACCTTTAAATGTTTAGTATATGCTGTTCAGAAATATAGACACTATCGTGAGAAATGGACGAAAAAGCCCCGCTACCTCGTACTTTAAAGTATACGTACCGATTCGGAATATTCTATTTTCAATTTATCGCCAACATTTCGACAAGTATCGATAAACGTTTGCAAAATTTGTTCTTTCTTTTTTATATCATGTGTCTTGGCAACGTCTTCCAATGTATCGCATAATTGTTTAAACTCAATTTTAGCTTCTAAAGCAATAGCCATCACTCTAAAGGAAATTTAAATTGATGTTATTTTAATATGGAATACCTTAAGGGATTGAATGATTTATTTCAGCTTGAAAAAATTATATATTTTGTTATTATTTATTATTGTTATTCATTATATAACCCATGTAGCGATAGCAAAGATGTATAAAAAAGTGAGATTGTTTCAGAAACGGGAGTTTGATCGGTTGCACTTGTTTGAAAGACAAGATTGTACAATGAAAGAGTAGAATAATTTTAAATACGTGTTTTGTTCTTTAATGAAACTTATTATATACATACGCGCATACGTTCGTTTACACACGCACACAAAAGCAGAAATTCTATAAAATATCACAGTTTCAATTTATACCGTGATATAATTTTCAAGATACATTCTAGCAAGAAGATGATTGTCGGATTGTAGATAGATAAGATGCAAATTGAACGCTGCTTCCTTTCTTAGATCCAAAAGATTTGCATGCTGTTTAACTAAATCTCCTGGATTTTCGTTCAGGACCAACTTATAGAAGTGAATCGCAGATGGTAATAAACCGATTTGATGAAATGCCCGTGCCATATTATAGTAAGTTTCTTGTTGACCTTCTTCACCACGTAATTGCATGTATTTTTTGAAGAAGGCTAGCGCTATGTACAAAGATTAAAGATTAAAAAAAAATACATACGTAGTTGTAGTATACATTATGTAATATAATAATGTATATCTATTGTTATACGTATTACATCATTATTTAAATGTACACTTTTAAAAAAGAAAGAAGATTGTGCTTTAAATGCTTTCTAAATGTAAACTGAGGCTGCGGTCAAAGTCTCTACAAATGCTTTATATATATATATATATATATATATATATATATAATATACATACCTTGAATTACTAGCTGATTCTTCTTAGCTGACATCTTTTGACATGCCATATGTAATTGTGTCACGCCTATTAACAATGCTAATAATGCACTAGGTGCTACTTTAAAGAGAGACATATAACCGTTTAGAGCATATTTGTAAGTTCCCGAAACAAGACAGTTGTTTGCATGCATGATATGCAAATATGAAAATACGTCTCTTCCAAGTAATCGCATTATAAATCTGTTGTGTCTCAAATCTTCTGCTCTTTGAATAATTATATTTAACAAGTTCCACGAGTTGGACCTTTGACAGACACGTACGAATTCTCGGACAATATTGTAACCGTAGAACGAATCCTTATTATGAATGCAAGAAACCAAACACAAAAAGATAATATGAGAGTCTCTGTTTTTAAATCTCTTTGATGTTAGAGCAGTGAAACATAATCTTTGAAGGAAACCATACTTGTTTAATTTATACGCTAGTTTACACATTTGTAGGAAAAGTAGAAATTCATTTTTTTCACTCGGTCTTGCATTAGTAGTAAACGTTGGCGCGTTTTCATCTTCTAACTTTTCTCCGCATGATAAACGACGAAGTTGTAGGCTGTCAAGCCGTTGCCGAACACCCGTTGCGCGTGCCAATGCGTTTAATTCAACCTTTCTTCTTATATTAACACAATGTCGTGAGAGAAGTAACATTCCCGAGGAAAAGTATTCCTCATATCTTCCAACTTTAAAAAGTAATAGCGTTCTTTGATACAGAACGTCAGAATCTAATGTATCGGATTCGGGATCTTGGTAGAGAACTTGTATCGCCTTATCGTAACGTTCTGACTTTTTATAAAGTTTAGCTAGAGCTAATCTTGCGCCTAAATGCTGTGGTGACAACTTTCGAACAGTTTCGTAAGATTCTATAGCTTTATCCACATCATTACAACCAACCCAACATTCGGCATGTCTCAGCCAAACTGCAGCCAAACTAAAATTCGAGCTTTTGACTAACGGATCCAATAAAATCATAGCGCGATGAAATTCTTTCTTGCTCATCAGTGCTTCCGCTACATCTAAAAAGAGATCTCCAGAAATCTCTGGATTTTCGCGCATATAAAAGTTTGGTAACAATTTTTCAGCAATTGAAATATAATCCAATTCAATGAGAATTATGAGAAATTTTGCCTTTAAGTCAACAACCACGTTGTCTGGTACATTGCAAGACTCTATTTCGTCACTATTTTGGCTTCTCCATGTCGGGGACACTGCTTTTCGTTTTGCATTACTACACTCTTCTTCCTTGTCGGCCTTTGCATCGTTGGCCGCTATTCTTTCTTCTTTTTCCTCATTATTCTTATATCGTATCTGAATATTTGTATACTTTACTAATATATCTAAACATCTCTGAAATTGCTTTAGCGCTATTAATAATTCAGTCATGATATTAACTTCTTCTAATGTAATGAGATCAGGACATTTGACAAAGATAATCTCTACTGCTTCCAATGCTTGTTCATTGTTATCTTCTTGCATATAACGTTTGGCTAACATCTTTGCATATTTCATTATATATTCACCATCCTCGACTTCCAATTGATGAATCAGCTTTGTATATCCCCGCAAATATGCTTTTTTATCACCATTTTGTTCTTGAAGCTGTGCTCGTGTCTCATATAAACTTATGTCCTTTGGACTGGCTTGAATCGCTTTAGAGTAACACGTTATCGCTTGCTTTATATCGCCACTTTCCAATGACAAGTTAGCCAATCTTACCCACTGATCAGCATCTTTAGGACTAAGATGCGCAGCAATTAAAGCAAATTGCAATGACTTTTCTGGTTGATCATTTTCATATATCATAGCTAACGTCTGAAATGGTTCTGGAGCACTTGGTACTTGTCTAAAAAAGAATTAGCAAGTGTTAAAGAGATTTTTACTTGTTATAAAAATTTTAACCAAACATTGTATATCAATGTAATACACTAAGACAACTTGCCTAATGATCTCCATGCATATTTTAGCTGCTAAATCTACCTCTCCCTTTGCGAATCTCAAATTCGCCTCTCCCATAAGTCCTTGCAAAACTGGTGGTAAAATACGCCTTTTCTTTTTTTGACGCACATTAATTGTTTTATGCTGCTTTTGTTCCACACCTTTTTGTACAGTAATATGATCAAATCCACTTGTTGTTCTAAAAATTGCATCACAAATGTGAATTTCGTGATTGTCAAAATAATTAAAATGTAATATATATATATATATATATATATATAAAACCCATACCTGGAGGTATCATTTTCTATCATCTCTAAATCTGTATCCTGATCCATTCTGGATGAATACTCACTGAATGTTAACTCGCCATTTAAAAACTGCTTTGTTAACTGATCTTCTTCGTCGATAGTTAACGACATATCCTGATCTTCCATGTCCATGTTACCCTTGTTAAAATTACATGACGGAGAGAATGTAGAATTTGGAATAACATCTGTTACATCTCTTATCTGTAATGCTTTTGCTTCGACAAATTCATTTATATCCATATCCATTGAATTGATAGCATTTTCATCCAATTCTTCTATTATTACTGATGCTACATTACTATTCCCACTAACAGCCAGATTGTCATCGGCAGTCGATTTTTCAAGTTGCACTTCCATTGCAATTTTTTCAATCACATCCATGCTGACATCGTTTCCTTTATTTACGTTACATTCCATGGTCCTTTCACTACATATACGCTTCCTCAATCTTATACTTACATTAAATAAGATATATTTCTAATAATTTATACTTAAGTAAACTTTGAAATTCATTTACATTAGCCGCATACTGTTATCGTAAAACTGACTTTGCTATCGCTACATATGTATGATATACTAGAAAATACATAAATGATCGATAAAACAAAATGTAAATATATATTTACCTGCTTGTCTGTAGAATTACTTTGCAAGAGGTGTATGAAAGAAAAATTATAGTATTACGTTATTATTATGTTATCACGCACATATGTACTATTGCCAGGTTTCTGTCTGCCATAGATCTGGAGTCAGTGTAAGAAGTACAAGCACTAGTGTAATACATACATAATTAATCATTTTGATGCATATTGTATCAATTTAGTACATTATTCTTTGAATACATCGTTGAAATTAAAATTTAATAGAAAGTTACTAGTTAGTACATGTATCAAATGCACGATATAAATTAGACAATTCAATCGCTCGGTAAGCATGCCTAGAATCCTATATAAGTGCTTTCCACTTGAATACTTGGGATATGATCAACGCGATGCAAACGCTTTGAAGTGTTTTTTAATTGGTCAGTTTGTAAAATTCTTTCTTCTAATTGGTTCATCAAAGCTTTAAAGCATTTGTAGCAAGACTTTGACCACAGCCTTGATGACAAGTCGACGCAAGTGTCATTCTATCTTTGTTACTCTCTGAATGTCAACAAGGATAAAACGACGCTTGTGTCAACTTGTGTTATTAAATGGAAAGCAGCCTCTATGAGAGAAACGACATTGGTATCGCGATTTCTGATTGATGATATTCCTACCTAATTAAAGCAGCCATATTGTGCTATTCACGCGCTTTAGGCTCCATTTTCATTCGTCAAAACAGGTCACGTGTCAAAATTGACGAATACCAAATATCAATTTTGATCACAGTACAGTACAGTAACTAGGCAATTAGGAAACCACGTACTACGTACCACCTATTTCTTTCGCTGATATTACATGGAGCCCGGTTTGTGGCATAATAACAAACTCACTACTATACACTGCTATACACTTTTTAATGGAGTTAATTGATTTAAACGCAATTATTAAGTAAATCTGTTAAAAAAATAAGAGTATTGATAAAATGTGCACAAAAATAAGTTACAATAATATATTAAAAAAAATTCATACTAATATGAGTTTGTCACTAGCCCATGCCGCAAACCGCGCTCCAGTAATATCAGTGAAAGAAATAGGCGATACATGTTACGCTTTTCCTAGTTGCCTAGTTAGTTACTATTAGTTACTGTACTGTTAGTTACTGCGTATTGTGTATCGCATTTCTGTAATCGCATCCTAACTTTTCTTCTTTCTGCGCATGTGTCAAAAGAGGATAGAAGAGGATAGAAAAATATTTCTGTCCTTTAGATCTTACTCACAGCTTGACATCCGTCATAAACATATGCCAGTGTATTCATAGTCCTTCATAGGCCTTCCTTTTTAGTATCTTTCAGATATTCTACAAATTATTTCATTGATTACTGAGCATCTAAAGATAAATTTAAAGAAGCCTTTAGTACAAGGTCTGACTATGAATATGGACAATAGTATTTCTAGACCGAGCATTGTTAAAAATTTGGGAAGTGGGAGTAGCCCTTATTTAAAAAAAGACACACTCATGATTAGTCTAGGTGCGTTCTCTCTTATGTATGCGCGAAACGAGATAAAATGCACCTGGAAATCGATTTTGTATTTCGAAATGAAGTGAAAATTATAAAAGTGAGAGAATTTACTAGAATACTGATTATTTCATTGGTTAACGCCTAGTAAATTCGCTTTTGTAATTTTCACCTTGTTTGATGATACAGAATCGATCAATCCCTGGATCAACTAAAGCTCTATATTACTAAAGTACATTAGTCCGCCGTAATATTAAACTTACTAATCTTACCATAGGTTTGTTTTCTGTGGCTGAACTAGTGAACACTTTTGCAATTTAAAGTGAGATAGATATACATTTGATATTTATTGTTTAAAGCGAGAAAGAGAATCTAGTGCAGAAACAAAAAACAGACCACATGTACCAATAATACCAATATGTGTTAATTATACTAAGCGCTTATTGGACTACTAGATCCAAGATGACGGTGAAATAGTCAATAGGAAAGCTGTCGGCAAGACTATTGGCTATTTCAAAAAATATAAAAAAAATGCGCTACTTCAGTAATATAGAGCTTTAGGATAACATAAGTGCATCCTTTTCTAAATGAGAGCTATTTCCACTCCTCGAATGGTCTAAACACGGCGTTAGAAAAATATTATAATAAATAATAATAAATAAGTAAGAAAGATGATATTAATTATCTAAAGTAGACAAAATTATTCTACGTTACGAATTATTATAAATAAACATATTAATAATAGATAAATCCCTTTTTTGCTTAGTGAGCGGTCGTCGCCTCCGAATGCACCCACTGTGGACACTGTGGAGTATGGTGTCGACATCTAGAAACAGCTGTTCGTCGACACCTCCAACGCCCCCAGTCGTTCTCGACCATCATGGCCGCTTCCAGGTTAATAAAGCTGTCGAAGATGACATTTGTTAAGTGAAAAGGATTAATGAGCGTATACACATACACACACACACAAATACTACTTATTCGAACTCGAATTAGCAGCAAGGACAGTTAAAGTTTATACCTTTTTTCCTATGTCCATATTTTACGTAATGACGATCGTGTAATAACTCGTGCGCGAATGTTCTCTTACGCCTTTCACTTTGTGCAAACAGTACTCGGCGATTTAATTAAAACTTTATCCGAACCGAAACGATTACGTCCACGTGAAATGAAACAATGATGCCGATAAAGGACAATCAAGATGTGGCATGCTTTTTAGTTACCAAGCATTCTACATGGAAAGGAAAGTAAGTGCATTGTTTTTTCTTACATGTATTCTACTGTACCTATCAATTTCAATCCATTTCAGCAATTCGATTAAAGACGTTGGAAAGATGTAGAATAATATCCAATCGGTTAATATCCGATATGTCAAATAAAATTCTATGATTGTATGATATTTTAGTAAACTTGGTATAAACAATCATACAATATAGAAACTATCTATGTTTTATAAAAAATATTACGTCTAAAAATATATTGTGTATTTTAATTGTGATTTTTCAATAAAAAATTAATGAACTTTAAATTGTATATTATCTTTGCATAGATATTTGTTGTATCTTTAGATAGATGTTTGTTAAATGTCTACAAAATTAATATAAAATAAGAATATTCTTGTTACATACTTGTACATAAGAGTTTTATATATATATATTTATATATATTAGGTACAAGCGTATCTTCTCTATTGGCTCTATGGGAATAACAACATACAATCCTGGCACGTTGGAAGTTACAAACAAATGGGAATATTCCGATTTTATAAATGTACAGCCAATAAATAGAAATCAATTAGGATCTCATGAATTTACTATAACTGTACGTAAGGAGCGGAAAAATGAGACCATGAAGTTTAGTTCTGAGCATAGATCACATCTATTAACAGAAGCACTTAAATACAGAAACCATGTTGAAAAATCTAAAGAAATTTTGGTGAGTTTACACATATATATTTGTTCTTTTTTTTTGCTTTTCTTTCTTTTTACATGTATGTATGTATATGTTTAATTGTATAATTTTTATAATACAATATGTATAATTGAAATATCGCTTAGAATATATCAATTTATTTCTCTAGAGTTTCATAGCCAGTGTGAAGTAATATGGAAGTAATTTTTATGCAGAGTGTATACTGAGAGTGTACGCTAAGAGATTTTAAGGCATGATTTCTCATGTAAATTCAAAATGAAAATTTTATGTAATCATATTTTTGAAACGGCTTAGCTTCAAAGATACAGAGTGTCAAAGTTGAAAAAAAAGAATTTTGTTTTTTCTAAGAATTTTGAAAATGAACTATAAAACTCGAATTATTTTGATAAAACTTTGTATATGTTTAAAGTTTCATTAAAATAACTCGAATGATTTTCGAAAAAACGAAACTTTCACATTCTATATCTTTGAGGCCGTTTGGAATCATGATCACATCAAGTTTTCATTTTAAATTACCTGAGCAATTATCCCTTAAGATCTTGTAGTGTGCTCTCTAAATATACATTATATGTGCGCGCGCGCGTGCGTGTGTGTGTGTGTGTGTGTGTGTCACAACTCATACTTATAATATTAATATTATTTATATTTGTAGAGATATCCAGCTTACAAGCATCACTGGTCTGATACAAGATTACCTATTGTATTAGAAATAACATCATACAGTCTTGATCAATTAGATCCTGCGACAAACATGATATTAGCTAGTTATTGTTATAAAGATTTTGAAGGGCTCTTAACGATGAAAGATTATCCCAATGGATTTGTGATTGTATGTGGTGGATTTGGACGTCTGCATCTTTTTGCTTCTAAACATATGGAAGAGATAAAAAAGAAATTGCAAGAAGCTGCATTAAATAACTTGGGCATTAATATAAAAATGTTGAAAGAACCTATAAGGCTCGATGATTTCATTGCTCAAAGATTAGGGAAATTTAGCAGCGATGAGTACATAACAAGCGTATCAGAATTTACTGTTCATAAAATCTCCTCCAGGCATTCGGATCCTCAAAGAAGAACACTTTGTCTTTCGGATACTTGCCTGTTGGAAAGAGATCCTCAAACGTATAATATTTGTACTCTTAGGCCATTATCAGACATTTTTACTCTGGTTCGTGATAATGATAATCCCCAATTGTTCACTATACAATATCTTAATGGTCAAATACGCAGTTATACCGCAACGAATAGAGATTCCTTATTAGCATCTTTACTGGATGGTGTAAGAGCATCCGGTAATAGAGATGTCCACGTAAAGATGTATCCCATAGCCAGAGGTAAAAGACTCGGACCTTTCAATCTATCTGTTGACGAAGAAGTCGAAACGACACATGTAAAATTCCTTCAGCAGCCACCTGGAGGACGTACGTTTGCTGAAATTTTGGAGCGATTTAATGCAAATATACCGTACAGTGGACTTAATTACTCCATAACGCAAGATGTAAGATAGAGCATTTCTCTATGTTTGATATTTTGCATATATGAGATTTTATATTTAATTTTTAAGAAATATCACTCAAATAATCGCTCTTTAAGCATTTGTGCTCATGTATAAGAGTTTGTACAGTACATTGAAGCGGTTAAATTATATTAACTGATTGAGAGTTCAGAATTTCTTTGAAACTTTATAATTCAATAATTACATTCAAATTTCTTTTTATTTATTTATCTATTTTTCCTCTTATAAAAATGATATATTTACGAAAATTATGAAGTTTCAAATGATTCCGTATTTAAATAAATATAAATTGTACATAAAGAGATACAAGATATTTTCTGTTTATCCAGGAAGTTGTACCGCTTGAATGGACTGTAACGACATTACAACTCCAAGTACATCGTATTACAAATGATTACTTACAGGGGATTTTTACT